CAGATAAACTGCACTTTCCATTTGGTGATGTTGCCATCATGTCAGATTTCGAGAAAAGATAAGTGAATTACTGAGAAGTGGAACATTGGAACAAGGTATAAGGAGAAATTAGTACTATCCTCGGTTATGCCTTCATCTCAAAAACTTTTGACCCTTTTTCCAGATCAAGATACGGCAAGACTTTGCGCTCATACTATAATTTCTATATGGGGCAGACCTGTCGATCCAAGCCGTCTGTAAAGGTCTACGTATTTAATCCGGAATAAAGTGGTTAAAAACAGATCATTTTGCAGGCTGCGGGGATTTCACATCCAGGAGTAAGAGTATAGAGTCTATAGAAATAAGCAAAACAGCCAACATCCAGAATAGGAGAAATGACTGTAGGAAATAGAGCAGGAAGTGTTTGTGGCTGTTGAATGGGTTTAATAAGAGACGGGAAGAGGGTGAATAGGAAGAACCGCTGAGTAAGAGGAGGATCCTTGAGTAGCTTCGGGTCTGACTAGGACACTCACACTTCACATGACTTGGACCTGGCATACACTCAATATGCAATACCACATGCGTACAAATTGCAGAATCTTACGTTTGATTATTTAGGCAAGGAAACAACTGCCTCTTCATCCAGTTTCTTTTTATACATCTGACTTCCTCATCTTCTAGAGTTTAAGTTAAACATGAAATAGCCAACCAAATTATAGGATGCCTCATTAGGACCATACAGTTAGGTACTCAAGGCAACCCTCATTTGCTTGGATTATTGTATTCGGTTCTTTTTTTCATAAAGTATGCTTTCTTGCTCAGACAATGTCTGTTTTAATGCAGGCACAGGTTCACTTGGGTCGCAGGACAATGAGCGGAGGATTTCTTTACACAATACAATAGTCTTCATTCGTCGGTGAGAGCGAAACGTAGCGGATTTGGTTTAAGAACTCTTATGAATTTACCAACTTAGTCGATGAGCAGGAGATAGAAGTGGGGATTTTCTGGAAAGTTTTGACATTGAGTCTGTGTATGCTAACATTCCTGTAGATAATGTCACATAGGGTATCTCAATAAAAAGTATACCAACACCCTGATATTTTAAGGAGTATGAATTTATGTAAATAGTGATACTAACCAATCTGGCGATACACTTCATATATTAGCCTTAGTGGCAAATTGTACGAATAAGCACGAGGTTTGGCTATTGGATCTTGTTTGTCATCAATTTTAGCAACTAGTTACACGGTTACATTTAGAGAACGTCTAATTTGAGAGGCATTTTTAGTTTAACTTATTGGTCCTTTATATGGACGACTAGTCTGCTATTCTGCAGCATGACAAAGAAAACTTGGAGAATTTTCTTGGTTTGATGATCAAGATCCTTGGGAAGACGAAATTCATCATCCATTTTGGAAAGGAAGGAAGTTTCCCTTTGATAGATATCCTCGTTAGCAGAGGGAACCGTATTAGGTAGATATGTTTATGGGAAACCCACAAACGCAGGTTACCTTTTGAATTTTTTTTCCAACTACACGTATCTGGTTGAAGCAGGAGTTATGACGTCTATTGTAGCTAAGGGGCCTGCACCTGGAAAATGCTAGTCATAAGGACCAGGAATTGAGGTAACAAGGAGAATCCTGGTTGTGATCAATTATCTCCAAGAGCCGATTGGCAATGAGTTCAGAAGTTTTTAAACATATGATGGTTGGAAATACAAATATGGGTCTAGACCACTCCACCAGAGTCCTTATGTTGCCATCGTGTAATCTGCCGAAGA